TCAAACGGGCCGGATCCAGCCCGTGGGCCGTAGTTTGCCCACGGCTGCTCTAGGCCAAGAGTCGGGTGTGTGTGTGTGTGTGTGTGTGTGTGCGCGCATGCCTGTGTGTAAAGGGAAGTTGTTGGGGTAAGAATGGAGTGTGAAAGAAAAATTTATTGCATATTCAACAAATATTAATTGTTTAATAAGTGCCAGGTACTGTTCAAGATGCTGGGAAGACATACATGTGGAAGGTGGATAAGATTCATGCCCTCATGGAGCTTATGCTCTTTAAGGAGTTATCTTGGTAGATATATTCGGAACTCCCTTCCTTCCTTCCTTCCTTCCTTCCTTCCTTCCTTCCTTCCTTCCTTCCTTCCTCCCTCCTCCCTTCCTCCCTCCCTCCCTCCCACTTTTCCTCCCTCCTTTCTTTCTTCCACCCCGCATTCCCTCATTTAATAAATACTCTGGAGTCAGACTGCATCCTAGCTTGGCTACTTATTAGCTAATGCAATCTTAGGCAAATTTTTAACCTCTAATCCCTCTTCTCTAAAATGGAAACAAGAATAGGACCCGTCTACATGATTAGACCTACAGCTAATGTGAGGGCCTAGATCTGAGAAAGCCAGGAAACTGAATTCAAGAATAGCCCATGCACAGCCTGTGAGCCCGGGAGGCCAAGGATGATAGATGAGGCTTTTGCCCAGGTCTGAATAGGCTGTGATCTCTACCCTGGCCATCCTAGAATCCATCGTGCACCTCTGAGATTGATGAGATGAGTGCACCCCCAGGCAAGGCTACATTCTGTACCAGGCTAGACCTGAGGGGTCTGTGGGGGGCTGTCATTATCATCCACTGTTGTCTGCAGGCTGCTAGGAAGACTCCAGGGGCCTGGAAGCGGGCCCCTCCCCTGGAGAATGTCTAAGCCATGCTCTATATCCTGACTACACTGACATCCTCCTGAACCTTTAGATAATTTGATTTATTTAAGTGTCTACTGTTGACATTTATCCCTAAGTGATTAGACTCATAGTCACGATGGGGAAATTCAGCGAGGTCGTAAGTCAAGAGCTTAGTGCAGTGCTGGTCCAGAGCTCGAGCTTACAGGTTACCTATTGCTGTCTCTGTGCACTTGATATGTGCCAGGCATGTGCCAGATGCTAGGAATAATGGATGCACGCACGTGTGCATACACACATGCACATGATGCAGAGGTCAGTGACTGCAAAGAGACAGCCTTTGTTCCTTGCAGCAGCAAAAGCAACCTCTGACCCCTCTTGAGCACCTGCAGGTTTCTGTACCTTAAAGCAAAATTCATGTTCTCTGTCTTCCTTCCTTTTAAAGCACAGAGAGGGTATTGTAAATGCCAGTGATGTGTTTTTTTATGTTAGAAACAATCTATAGATAAGAACAGTAGTTTAATTATAGTTTTAGAAATGCATCTATATATACATATATATACATATATATATATATATATGTTATACTCTTTGAGAACATAAGAAGTAAAAATTGGAAACAGAAAAAAAGAAAACAGATGCAAAAGCAAGACCCAGGTACTAATTTCATCATTATTTATAAGAGGGAGTTAGTACATCCTGACTGTTTATATATTAACTAGAGGCCGGTACACAAAAATTTGTGCACTTGGGGGGGTCCCTCAGCCCGGCCTATGCCCTCTTGCAGTCTGGGACCCCTTGGAGGATGTCCACCTGCTGGCTTAGGCCCACTCCCTGGGGGATCGGGACCAAGCTGGCAGTCAGACATCCCTCTGGCAGCCCAGGAGCCCTTGGGGGATGTCCACTTACCAGCAGGGAGCAGACCTAAGCTGCAGTCGGACATCCTTAGTGCTGCTGAGGAGGCAGGAGAGGCTCCCACCACCACCGCTGTGCTGGCAGCCATCAGCCTGGCTTGTGGCTGAGCAGAGCTCCCTCTGTGGGAGTGCACTGACCACCAGGGGACAGCTCCTGCATTGAGCATCTGCTCCCTGGTGGTCAGTGTGTGTCATAGTGACCAGTCATTCCCAGTTGCTCTGCTGTTAGGGTCAATTTGCATATTACCCTTTTATTATATAGGATAGAGGCCTGGAGGCCTGGTGCATGGGTGGGAGCCAGCTGGTTTGCCCTGAAGGGTGTCCCGGATCAGAGTGGGGGTCCCGCTGGGGTGCCTGGCCAGCCTGGGTGAGGGGCTGATGGCTGTTTGCAGGTTGGTCAAGCCACCCCCCCCCCAATGGGGACCCTCACCCCATGGAGGTTTGGCCAGCCTGGGTGAGGGGCTGATGGCTGTTTTCAGGCTGGCCACACCCCCTTTAGGGGGGGGAGGGTCCCCACTGGGGTGCCTGGCCAGTCTGGGTGAGGGGCTGATGGCTGTTTTCAGGCTGGCCAAGCCCCCCAGCAAGGGAAGCTCCCAGCCTCTCCTTTTTTTCTTTTTTTTTTATTCTGGGATTTATTTACCTTCTATAATTGAAACTTTGTAGCTTTGAGTGGAGCTCAGACCCGGCCAGGGCAGGAGGGAAGCTTGGCTTCCTCCATCGCCAGGGGCAACCCAAGCCTCCTGCTCACTCCAGCTCTGTGGCTGCCGGCCGCCATCTTGGTTGGGTTAATTTGCATATAGTCGCTCTGATTGGCTGGTGGGCATGGCTTAAGGCATAGTGAAGGTATGGTCAATTTGCATGTTTGTCTTTTATTAGTGTGGATAAATGAAATAGTAGTCATAAAATATCCACCAGAATTAATAAAAACCAAAACTATTAGCATAGGTCACTTCTTTGGTATGTGGTATATGATATGTATTATTTATAGACTATAATAATCCCAAACCTTCTTGTTGCCACAGAACTCTCAGTTACTCCTCATTTTTTCACAAAAACTTTGAGATCTGGCTTTCCCCCTTAACCCAACTTCATCCATAAGGAGGAGCAGCACAGAAATTTCAGCATTCCCCAGATCCTATACTTGGATTGTCACTGTCTTTTATGCAGGGTGACTATACCCATTATTTGAATTCAGTAATTGCTGATATCCAGGTGAGCCCCTAATCTGTATTTTTAGTTCAGTGGTTTCCCCTACACGCCAAACTCAGAAATAGAACTTCCTGTCACTCATGTCGACTTGCTAACCCCCAGGCATTGCAAAGTCATCATGTCCAATCTTGGCAACCTCAGTTATTGGAACCACCTGACCTAATAGAACATGTGGTCTGAGTTGATACTTTTCCCACACAGACAATACTCCAAATTCTTTTAGGGAGGAAAAAATCATGGGGAGGGAGGGATTGCTTCCAAATACCCATGTATTGGTTTATCATATTACCAGATGAAAGAGAGGATGTTTCTTATCTATAAAGTGGGAGATGTTCCAGAACAGGGGTGGGCAAACTTTTTGACTCAAGGGCCACAATGGGTTCTTAAACTGGACCGGAGGGCCGGAACAAAAGCATGGATGGAGTGTTTGTGTGAACTAATATAAATTCAAAGTAAACATCATTACATAAAAGGGTATGGTCTTTTGTTTTTTTAGTTTTATTCATTTCAAACAGCCAGATCCGGCCCGCGGACAGTAGTTTGCCCACGGCTGTTCTAGAACCTTCCTCTAAGGCAGCGGTTCTCAACCCTTTGAGGGGTCGAACGACCCTTTCACAGGGGTCGCCTAACACCATCGGAAAACACATATATAATTACATATTGTTTTTGTGATTAATCACTATGCTTTAATTATGTTCAATTTGTAACAATGAAAATACACCCTGCATATCAGATATTTCCGTTACGATTCATAACAGTAGCAAAATTACAGTTATGAAGTAGCAACGAAAATAATTTTATGGTTGGGGGTCACCACAACATGAGGAACTGTATTAAAGGGTCGTGGCATTAGGAAGGTTGAGAACCACTTCTCTAAGGGCTCCCATGAGAAGGAATCGTGCCTGTGCATTTAGCACAGGGTCTGGCCCATACAGAGAGCTACATAAATGGCCACTATTAATATTGTGGTCCATCGCTTCTCGGCCTTTTGGCTAAGATCAAGTGTAGTATCTGTTCTTATCAGTTTAATACTGTGGTCCATTTCATGGGGTGAGAAAGAAGGGCATAAAAGGTAAGTGTAAGAATATGGGTTTTGAAAGCAGGAAGAGCTGGGTCTCAATCCTAACTCCCCCGTTTACTAGCTGGGAAGCCCTGAGCAAGGTAACTTGCCTGAGCCTCACTCTCCTCATCCACAAACTGAGATAAAACCAAAACCAGCCTCATGGCATTGAGAGAAACAGGTGACAGAGTGGGTGAGAGGAGCTTAGCGCAGGCCTGGAATGTGTCATGTTGCTGCTTCTTTGAGTGGAGTCTGTGTTGGGAGCTGACAGGCAGTGCAGGAAATTTTTCTCTTAAACGGTCTGTTTTTGTTTTGCTTTTAAACTCTCACTGTTTCTCTTCAGAGTTCAATTTTTAAAATTATAGTTTTTTCAAAAGACTACCTGTAATTCTTCAGGAATGCTGTGCTCTATAGACAACAGATTTTCAAATTATGTGACTAAGGCTGCTAAGATCCCAGGAGAGAGGTATTATTATTTCCCCCCCAATTTACAAATGAAGAGAGGCTAAATAACCTGCCCAATCTCACCCAGCATTGTTTTAAAAATCTCAGGCCTATCTGAACCCAAAGTGTGTGCTCTTAACAACCCCAGCACAGGGCACCACCTCTGATCCCCAACACACCCCCACCCCTACCTCTCCCCACCCCCATCTGTCTCCTTCCACGTCTCTTCACAATGGTAACATAGAAAGAGCTTAGGCTTTGGAGCCAGACTGTCCTGAATTCAATCCAACTTCAGGGTCTTGTGTAAAACACCAGATTATGATACCTACTTCTCTAGGCAGTAGTGAGAATCAAAAGAGTTGGGTTTTTTTTGTAATGTGCCTAATGCCTTTATTGCAGTGCCTGGCATGCAGTAATAAACAGTAAATGTTAGCTTCTCAGGTATCCTCCCCCTGAACCCCCATCTTTTTCTCGGCTGCTTCCCCAGACACTCACATAAACCTGAGCTCTGACTCCCGTCGGACCAAAACTTCCCGGAGACGCTGGATTTTCGCCATTTCCAGCTCGATCTCCTCTGGCATCATGGTTGTCTCTGCCATGGAGATGATGTCCAGCTGACCTGTGTGGGAGACATGAAACGCAGGGGTCAAGGCCCCAAGTGTACACTGGTTTGCAAGGATTCCCTCATTTCAGGGACCAGACTCGACCCAGTGACCTTCACACACCCAAAGGCACTCGGATCTCAGCTTTCACTGCACGTGTGTGTTTTCCCGAAGGCCCTTTGGGAACTGGAAAAACACATTTTTCAGTGGGAACGCTGTTATGATGGCACATGGAGGCTCAGGTGGGCTCACCAAAACCTGCTCACGATAGTGTCTGTGGCCTTGACAGTCCCTGGCTGTTCCCGGCTCCTGAGTCTCTGCTCCCCCAAAACCATGGCCACTTTGCCAGGTCCCAGCCCCCAAGACCAAGTTCAACTTTAAAAAGAAGAAAGTTTTATAATAATTATTTTATAGTAATATCATTAATTATCACCTTACAGGAATACTATGTAATGTAAGCAAGAGTAATATAAAATAATACAAGTTTGTTGTAGAAAACTCAGATAATACAGACAGGCAAAAAATAACAAGATAAAAAGACATCCACTACCACAATGTCCAGAGTGAACCACTATCATATTTTGATGGACAGTCATCTGGTCTTATATTTACAGTTAGTTATATATATTGCTATATACTATATATATACTATATATATTTTCCCATTTAATCCCTAGTTTACAAATGATGAATCTGAAGCTTAGAGAAGGGAAGTGACTTGACCAACATTGCACAACTAGAACATTGCAGAGACAGAATCCAAACCTAGGTCTGTCTCTCCTTCTGTCTCTTTCTCTCTCTTTCTCTTAACCACATTATACAGCCTCCAGGCGAGGGATAAAAGTATTTGAGGATGCAAAAGCTCATGGTTAATGACCCCGCAGATATAAATGGGTTTTTCACATCACGGTTCAGATAAGCAACCCGATTTCCATGGGACAGATGCTGAAAATGACAAAACATCCCGGAGCAAAGTGTGTGACAAGAGAATTAATCACACCCCATGGGTTGGCATTTTACCTCCGTGCTTGGAGGAGGGCGGAGGTGATGGCACTGCCAGGCTCCAGGCGCTGAGATGAACATTTAGCTTTGACTTTGGGCAAAGAATGAGGATGATGCCTCTATTGAAAAGACTCCATCAGGGATACTTTCCTTCCCCTGGAGAATGGAGTGAAGCCTAGATCTCAAAATCAGATATAAATTAATTCGAATCCTTTCTTATAGTGAGTGCTCTGTGCCAGCCACTATGCTAGGCTTATTCTAAACCATATCTCATTTATCTTCACAATACCTATAAGCCAAATCCAGCCCCTGGCATGATTTTGTAGGTGAAGTCTGTCTGAAACACTGGCCATGCTCATACATTTACATGTTATTTATGGTTGGTTTTGCACTTTAACAGCAGAATGTAGTAGCTGCAACAGAGATCATGTGGCCTACAAAACCTCAAATATCTACTACCTAGCCCTTTACAGAAAAAGCTTGCCAACCCCTGCCCTAGATAGTAGTTGCTATAATTTCCCCCATTTAAAGGGTTTTTAAAAACCACTACAGGTTTATACAGTAACAATAATAACATTTATTGAGCACTTGTCACATGCCAGGCTCTGATTCTCAAAACAGCCGTGGGTGGTAAATAGAGAATCCCCATTTCAGAGGTGAGCAAGTTGTGGCTCAGGAAAAGAGTAAGATTTAACACCAGATCTGTCCTGCTCTAAAGCCCTTTTTGTAATCAGTCATATTCATTTAAGAACTATCTCCCTACTTAAGACATCACCATCTTAACAAGAGAGAGAACTGAATATATTCTGTTGCATTAGGCACATGGAGAGTAGCTGTTCTCAAGTATTAGCAGGCGTGCTGATTATCTGGGGAGCCTGTTAAAAAGGCGGCTTCTCTGTCTCTATCCCCAGGGACTTTCACGCAGGAGGTTTTCAGACCGGATTCTGAGAAACGCTGGTATAGGTCATGAGTAAATGAATCTCACGCATAGTGGGTTGCTTTTCCGTGTGAATTTGTGTGATAGAGCTAGTGTGATGGAAACCTCCTTGACAACATTTCTCAGCTAGAAGGCAGACATCCAATAGCTGCTAACGCATGTGTCCATGAGGAGGACAAATCCTGGAAGGAGACAGGCAGCATTTCAGGCTGGCTAGAGAAGACAGTCTCTATGAGGCCCTGCTACCTGTTTCCAGGCAGAGCCCAGCTGCTGAGCTGGGACTCAGACTCAGGTCTGCGTGATCCCAAAGCATCATGCTGTAGGTCAAAGGGCTGCAGAACAAACTCTGAGTCACTGCACAGAATTCATCACAGCCAGGTACCATCTGCTATGGACTGAATGTTTGTATCCCCCCTCCTCACATTCAGTTGTCGAAATCCTATCCTCCAATGTGATGGTATTAAGAGGTGGGGGCTTTGAAAGGTAATTGGGGTTAGATAAGTTCATGAGGGTGAGGCCCCCGTGATGAAGAGGAGACACAAGAGCTTGCTTCCTCTCTCTGCTCTTCACCAAGCGAGGACACAACAAGAAGGCAGCCATCTACAAACCAGGAAGAGGGTCCTTACCCACCAAACACTGGATCTGCCAGTGCTTTGACCTTGGGCTTCCCAGCCTCCAGAACCATGAGAAATAAAAGTCTGTTACTTAAGCCACCTAAATCTATGGAATTGTGTTACAGCAGCCCGAGCAGACTAATACACTGTCTTTGCCAGCCATGGGCAAACTACAGCCCGCGGGCTGGATCCGGCCCGTTTGAAATGAATAAAACAAACAAAAAAAAAGACCGTACCCTTTTATGTAATGATGTTTCCTTTGAACTTATATTAGTTCACACAAACACTCCATCCATGCTTTTGTTCCAGCCCTCCTGTCCAGTTTAAGAACCCATTGTGGCCCTCGAGTCAAAAAGTTTGCCCACCCCTGGTCTATGCTATCATTTACTCAATATTTCTTTACATTGACTATAAAATAATTCAAATAAGCCTCTTAAAGGGAATTTCACATTTTGTCCATAATAATAAGTCCCTAACACTTGGCAAAATTAGAAAATTTCCATAAAAAATAAATTCAATGGAAATACAGTGACGTTATCAAATTCTTGCTAAATACTGTAGGCTCAAGGCTCAAATTGAAGCCTAATCTTTCTTTCTTAACAAGGTGAATTAGCAAGTATTAGACAGTTAGCAAGTACTAGAGAAGCATTAGAAACAAAACACCAAATTGAGACTTTCTTCGTTGGTAATTACAAAGGTTGATAATTGGAAAAGAGAGTACTTTTCCCACAATGTAATTCAATGGTAGAAGCATCTGCGTACCACTAGGATACCCCTCCGACCCCCGAGAACGCTGCTGCAGAATGGAATCCCATTGCTTTGGGTTGGATGGGTCTTAAAGGTCCTTTAGATCAGCCTCTGCATGTGGGATAGGATGTGGAATGATGCAACACGATGCAGTTCTTAGGGTCTTCTGACAAGCAGCAGTGAGCCAAACTCTTGAATTCTCACTGGAAATTAAATGAGAACTCAGAAATAAATAAATAAATAAATAAATAAATAAATAAATAAATAAATAAGAACTCAGGCCTGAAGGACAATTCTCAACCATTTGTCAAGTTTTTCATCCAAAGATGAATCATCCATGTTGAGTCCTTATTTCAAACTCGCTGATATAACCCAGGTAATTAAACGAAGGTGGGCCCATTCATTTCATTCCCACATCATTTATTAGGTGTCCAGCATCCTTAAAACATATTCATAAGGACACAGGAGAGAAGGGCCGCAGTGGCTGCCTTGGAGGATGTAGGGGACTGGGGGTCAGTGTTGGGGAGAATCACCTTCTACCTAATATGCCCTTTTCTACTGTTTGGATTATTTAATACATTTTTTATTTTGGACTAATTTTAGATTACTAGGAAAGTTGCAAAGATACTACAGTGATTCTCCATATATCCTTCACTTAGTTCACTGTTAATATCACCAAGATGCAGATGCATTACTTCTAGCTGTATTGTTTGAAATTTTACTATGGCAGGTGTTACCTATTCAAGACAGATTTAAAATAACGAGCAAGGCAGGGGTGGGCGGGGGAGAGAATAAAGAAAAAATAGTTGGTGTGTGCAGGCGCCGTGGAAACCAAATAAGTCCTTAAAAAGGGCAAGCAAAGGGGGCAGTTATGAGCATGGACTTTGGGGTCTCGGGGCTGGCTCTCATGCTGACCTTGATCCCATTAGTTGAGACTCTGCCCTCCATTTCTTCATCTGCAACACTGGGAAAATCATACACATCTCTTAGGAAATTTATGTAAGTGCCAGGCAGATACAAAGTTCTCTCCATAACTCTCTGTATAATATTTGCTCTTATTATTCACTTAATAAATATGCATTGAAAACCTGTTTCATGCTAGATACTGCTCTCACCAAGAGGAATGAAACCAAACAGACAAAAGCTGTGCCCTCCTGGAGCTGATTTTCTAGCACGGGGCTTACATGTCAGGGAGTAAATTTGCTTCAGTGCTCTGTGCTGGTCATAGGCTCACCAGCAGCTTACTCTGCCGGAGACCAATTCCAGCATGTACAGCAGGGCTGCATGTGGGAATGGCTAAAGGCATTTCCCCAAACCTGAATAGGATGCATTAAATTGACTGTGGCTGCCAGACAGTTAAAGGGCATCTTAATCTACATGTTATTGCCTCCTACTGGCCAAACACCTGAACAGCCATAGGCTAATTCCCTCATTCTGACAATGGACTCTGTACCAAACCCTGACCCTTTGAAGTGTATATCTCTGCCTCGCCTCAGGGCAAGTTGTGTTAACAAAAAGCACGAGGTCCTGGGGAAGAGGAAAACCTAAGGCCTTAGACTTAAGATCTTGGATCTTAGCTCCTTTAGCTAAGCTCCTCTGACCCCCAAATGCCTATCAAAATTATATTTCGTCTCTGGACTCTTTATTAGTCTTTGGATTCCTATTTAACATCTACGCACAGCCTTCTCCAGATTCCTGAACCCTTCTTGATGCTGGC